TCCCCGCAGCCTCGCGGGCTGCTGGGCTTTGTGGTCCGCCGCCGCGGCCGGGCCCCCGCCGGGGGTGTCGCGCGAGCATGTGCAGACGGCGGCCCAAGGTAGAGCCGCGAGCCGGGCCAGCCCGAGCCGCGCCTGGCAATGCCATGTTCGCGCGCGCGCTCTGAGTCCGCGACAGCAGCCCGGGAGCCGGCCGCCCGGCCGCGCTTGGCTCATGTTTTCTTGTTTCTGTTTCAGCCTTCAGGATAATTCCTTCGGCGGCGCCGCTGTAACCGAGTAAGTGCTTCTGCCCCTGCCTTGGACTTGCATGCCTTCCTGCGGAAGCCCGCGTCGCGGTGAAGGTACCCGCCGTCCCCAGCCCCTCTCCTGGCATGCATTGTCTCCTGCATCCTGTGCTGCAAGGCTGAGAACCGCCCCCCCAAACCTTCCCAGGTTGTAGTCCGTGTTTTAGCAGCTGCGGGGGCTGTGGGGGGAATTAAGACCAGCCGGCTGCTGCGGAGGCTCAGAGCTCCGAAACACGCGATCTTGGAGCCCAGGGTTTTTTTTTAAATCTATGTGACATGTCAAAAAGGGAGCTTGGTTTTATTTTGCCAACACGAGTGTCAGTTTCCATGGCGTGCACGCTGTATACATTTGCCACAAATAGATGGATGTGAAGACTGGAGGTTAATTCGGCGGGTATAAATAGGCTAAACTTACCCTCACTCTCCGTATGTACAGATTTTTTTAAGGCACGGTGGAGCAAACTTTTCAGGATGCTTTTTGTCATTTTTTTTTTCTTCTTTCTTTTCTGACCTCAAGGATGGGACTGTAGAGGAACGAGTCACTGGTCCTGTGGGCTGAAGCTGTTGATTAGGTAACTAACACCATTTGAAAGTGGAGCCAGGAAGAGTTATAGTCAAGGCCTGCAGGCTCAGGATTTTTTTATTGGATATTTATAGCGCATTGTTTTTATTCTGTTTGTCATCCCTTCTTAATTTTTCCTAATATTATACCATCTATATCAGAAATTAACAATAGCATGTTTTCCAGGTGCTATTTTTATATATACCTGCATGTACAAACTATATGTATTTCATCTAGCCATCTTAAGGAAGGCAGATTTCATGTTTACCTTGGACTTTTTGGTAAAAGTCACTCGGGAAAAGCTTTGCAGGAAATAGGTGTGTGCAAAGTTGTATACTTAACTACTGTATTAAAGGATGTTGGGTTTGATACAGAAACCCCCAGTAACTTGGGAGCTGTTTGCTGAAGTTCTAAATAAGGAATAAACATACCATCTGGGTTAATTTAGTTCTCACCTCTGTTACAATGACTTGGAGAGAGGGGTTAGGGTCTGCAGAGCTGGGGTCCTCTTTCCTACATGCTTTTGTTTGTTTGTTTGGATTGATCCTCTATTAGTATCTGGCCTTGAGCTCACTTAGGTAGAGTCACTTTAAAAGGAGGACCAGACTGACGTAAGAGGATGCTTCAAGACCTGCCACTGGGACTGCATCATGGTGATGACAGTCTATGCCACTTTCCTTTAGTAAAAGGCTGAACGAAGAGGAGAGATGTGTTTGTGACCAAAGACAAGGTCTGGACTTCGTGGTTCAGGTGGTCCGTACCTCCTTCCCCTTGCTGGGTTTCCAGGCACCACATCCTTTTTCCTCCTGGCTCTCTGGAGCCCTTTGTGGCTGAATCCCCAGAGCCAGCCCCAGACACGGGCCCAACAGCTTCAAAATGGAGACACAGCTCCTGATTTCACATCTTTTTAATTTTTTTTTGGTGAGAGTGTTACCATTAAATGCTGGGGAGAATGTGGTGTCTTGTCCCTGGACACTCCCCAAAGAGTTCTGATTGCATAAGATCACGTTGTTACTTTGACAGAAGTGACAGCAGTTTCTTTTAAAAGGCTCTGAGTGGTAATTGGGAAGCCATCTGGTTAATAAAAGAATCTTAGTAACTTAAAACATACCAAAAGCTTCATAGGTGTGACACAGCACAGATGAGGGGCATTTCAGAACAGGCATTATCAAATAGAACATTACTTTTCTCCTCCCCTCAAAAATGTAAACCTGTTCTTGGATGTGTGGGCACAGTTCCTTAGCCAGCAGGAATGGAGGGTACTCTCCTGAGACACAGATATAGCAGGTGCTCTCAAAGTGTTTGTCTGCCTGAGGAGCTCTTTTCTCCTTAGGCTTCCCAGGGAAGCAAAACTCCTCTTCCTCCTGTGCCCACGCACTTCCTAGCCTCCTCCTCACACGACTGAAATTCTACCTGGAGATGCTTTGCTTTGGATTACAACCTCTGGTCATGAACCTTATTAAATTGGAAATTAAAAACTCTGTGCCCCTGGGAGGTAGGTCTAAATCGTCATTAATATTTCAATGTGAATTGTTTTATCAGATAGTCTTGGCTTCCCAGGGAAGCAAAACTCCTCTTCCTCCTGTGCCCACGCACTTCCTATCCTCCTCCTCACACAACTGAAATTCTACCTGGAGATGCTTTGCTTTGGATTACAACCTACCTGGGAGGTAGGTCTAAGTCGTCATTAATATTTCAATGTGAATTGTTTTATCAGATAGTCTCATCTGAAGGAGTGCTACTTGGCCAATCGTGGGTCTTTGTGTGTGTGTGTGTGTGTGTAAAGGTACCTGTGGAGGCCAGAGGTCAGCATCCTGTCTCTATGTGTTACTCATTAAGCTTGGAGCTTGCTGATTGGCTAGTCAGATTGGACAGTGCACTCTGGGGAATCCCTCTCTCTCCATCCACCCCTAGTCCCATGGTTACAGGTGTTTACCACAACTCCACTCTGTTAAAGTAGTTGCTGGGGACCCAAATTCAGGTCCTCATATTTAAGCGTTATGCACTGTGTGACTGAGTCATCACCTCAGCCCCTCAACCTGGAGGTCTTAAAAAATCAAAGGAAAGTAGGACTGTGAGGGGCTCAAGGACAAAGTGTTCTCTTCTTGCCTTTTTCCAGGCCTTGTGTTACCCATGCAGCTCTGGATGACTTTAACTTGGTTTTCTACAGAGATTTCTTCCAACATCAGAATGGCCTTAGCCTTTTCTCCTGGATTAACAGCATCTTTTGAAGAAGTTTTTTTTCTTTCTTTCAGTCCCTTACCATGTTGCCCTATTTGGAATGATGCCTAGCTTGCAAAAGTTCTGGCTAGTTAGCCACTAAGCATTGGTTTACAAAATGAACTCATCACCACTACCTGGGAAGGGGATTGGAGCTTGTGAAGAATATCGATTCTCAGGCTAAGTGCGAGCCTAAGGATGAGTGATTAGATTGGAATCATCCCATAGCTGGCCTGGGTTTTAGAAATCATTAGGGGAAACTATTTTAGAAGCTTACTAGCTAAGTGGCTGGGTAATGTTGTTTAAAAGTTCACATTATAGGACTGGGGTTGTGGTAGTTGGTAGAGTGCTTGCTTAGCTCCCGTGAACCAGTGGGTTTGATACCAAGAAGCATATTCATCTGGGTGTGGTGGTGCATGTCTGTAATCCCCAGCACTTGGGAATTTGGGAGGTAAAGGCTGGAGGATTGGAATTTCAAGGTCATCTTTGACTATGTAACAAGTTGGAGGCTAACCTGGGCTACATGACGCAGGTCTCAAAAAACGAAACCGAATCTCCCCGAAATACACAGAAGTGTGCATTTCATCATAAGAGAGTCGTATGGGGCTGAGACAAGGGCAAAGCTGGAACCCCCCCATTTTAATCAGGGACTCTAGGAAGCAGTGACACAGATGGTCCTGGGGCTGTGCTCTGGGGACGCCTCTTGGAGGTTGACTTTGCCTTCAGGGGTATGAGACTGTGCGGGAGAGGGAAGTCCCTTGCAAGCGCAACAGCTTTCTATCTTCCTATTTAACCAGAAAAGAGAATTTCACACTCTCATTATTCTAAGAACAGTGGTGGCCCCGCTCTTGGGAGCCTCTGGGAGTGTAGACTGAAGAGGTCGTGTGGCTCCCACTTGTGGGCTTGCTGGGGTGGAGCAGACACAAGCCAGGCTCCCCTGCATTCAGCCTTGAACTCTTGGACAATAACTTGGCCCCCTTGAGAGGTAATTCCTTCCTCACTGTCGTGCTGTCCTGAGAAGATGTGGCTGGGGTGGGTGGACTGTGAACTGTGTGCGTCTTTTTCTTTTCTTTCTTTTTTCTTTTGTGGATGATAGGGATGACAGAGCAAAGTCAAGTGTGGGGCGGGGGGAGACACAGCCCAGAGCATTTCACAAGAAGTGATGGCAGCCCGTTGTCAGTGAAGGACTGACTAGGACCCCGAGGCCTGTGAAGGGACGCACTTACTGGAAGCATCTTTCACTGTTTCCTTTTTACTATGAACAACCGTAAGAAAGACATTATTACAGTTCAGTGTGCATATACGTACATGCACACACACATACACACACACTCAAACACATACACGATTTCGATGAGTTCCATGAAGCAGCAATTAACCCTTTCTACACTGACATTTTCTAAACATACTTCCAACCAAATGTTGGTGCCCTGCTACCCTGTGGAGACGCACTGGCAGGTGACAGTGCACACTCTGAAAAACACTGCCTTAGGGCATGCTCAGTTATTTGTAAGGTTTGTGAAATATCTTTTCATTGAGGTCATAGTTGCTTACAAATGTTTGCACAAAACACCATGCTTCCAAGAGGGTATTTTTGAGCACATCACTACTGTGAGCAGCTTATTTTTAATTAGCATCTGAAGTAACAGACCTCCTTTCAGCATTTTCATACATCCTTGGTCTGGTCCTTCTTGACCCCTCCCCTCATCTGCCGTCTGCCTCCCAGGGTGTTTCCTTCTGTCCCCATCCCCCTCCTCCGTGTTCTTCCCACTTCCATATGTATGCCATTTCACTTCCACAACTTCAAGCCTCTTGCTTCCTCGTGTGGCCTTCTCTCTAGTTTCTGGATCTCTACCCTCACTCCCACCTAAATTAGAAGCCAGGGTCCGTATATAAGAGAAAACATGCACTAGTTGTTTTTCTGAGCCTGGATTACCTCACCTAACATAATATTTTCCAGTTCTGAGTATCTAAGAGGGAGATCACAAAGGGGATTGGTCTTTAAATTCCTATGTGGTGCAATAATGTTAGCCATGCCCAGGTCATTCGGTCTGAGCTGATGGTCTTCCAGAAATGGAGAGCTATACACTTGGGTTCCCACTGCAGGATCCAGTTCTGTAACTGGGACAGTACTGTACATTTACAGGGTCCTCCTGGGCAAGGACAGAAAGGAAATGCTGATTTAATGGGAATGGTCCTTATCAAAGCAACTGAAAACTCTACTCAGTGCAAGAGCTGGTATAGACTTTGAAGGCCAGCTAGAACTTCTGTTTCCATTGCTGGACCTGGGATCTTGAACATGTGTTTTCTTGAGTGACACCTGGCGTTGTCAGGAGATATTAACTTTGGATCCACTAATTTGGTCCCTTCCTCTGTTCTTAGTGCTAAGTTTCCTCTCTCAATATATCAGACTTTGAGGGGGGAAATTAATAAATCAAAGAGTGAAAAGACAAGTTTCTGCCAAATCCCCAATTAGTGTTGTTGAGTTCCACATTTGGACACTGGGTTGAACCCTAGTCCTTAGAAGTAAGAATTCTAGGTTTCTATTTTTTGTGGCTTTTTATACTTTACCATTGGAAAACATTCTTATTAATATTGCAGAGCCCACATGATCTGTTAGGTGAATACTGCTGACAGAGTAGAATGAAAAACTTGGAAATTTAATTGCAGTTTTCCTTGAGATGGACAAAGTGGGTTGTTGGTGCTCAGAAATGTAAGAGAGTAAGGAAGTTTATTCAGCTAAAAGGAACATTTTGTTAACTAGTCTGATTTTATTTTAGTGCCAGAGGGGACAAAATTTTCTGTTAGATAAAGAAGGTTCAAGTCTGTAGGTAGCCTTTGTGCAGTGCATTACAAAAGCCATAATTTAAAGAGGTTGTAAGGAATGGGAACGTTCATCAGCTCATTTGTGGGCTAATTACACAGTGTTTCCGGGGACGGATATTTAAATGTGTTAAGTTATTAAATGGAGCAGAAGCACTGTATTATATTTGTAAATGTGTATTTGTTTTATTTTTGCCTACTGATTACACTGAATTTCTCAGAATTGAAGTCTTTCTAAAATTTTATAGCCTTTAGAAGTAATGTTACTCTGATTACAGATGCCTGTCTGAATCAAAAACAGTACGGAGAGGTTAGAGAGCTATCTCAGTCATAAGAGCATTTGTTGCTCTTGCAGAGGACCTGGGTTTGATTCCTAGCACGCACAATTGTGGCTAACAACCATCTGTAACTCCAGTTCCAGGGGAAGCCAGTGCATCTTCTTCTGACCTCTGTGGGCTTTGCACAACACAGGTGCACTTACATACATGTAGGCAATACATTCATACACATAAAATAATAAAATATTTTTCTTAAAAAAAGAGGATAGAATTGGGATACACAATAGCTTTATGGGAAGTTGACGTTGTCATCCGCTTGCCAAAGTATTTGTGCTGAGTGGGCTGGATATTAAAACAAAACAACAAAACCAGAAAATGTCAGAAGCACAGGTCCAGTGTTTTTACTCTTCTCATCGCTCTGACAAAACACCTGACAAATAGGGAGAGCATGGTGGCATTCGCTTGGAATCCCAGCACTCTGGAGGCCGAGGTGCATCTCTGTAATTTCCAGGCCAGCCAGTGCCACATAGTGAGACCCTATTTCAAATAAACAAACAGAAACACAAAACAAAGAAAGCCAAGAAAAATACATGATAAAACACTTATGGGATGCGTGGTCCACTCTGTTCCCAGTCTGAGGGTTTCTCAGGGCAGATGAAGGGTGGTGACAGGAGCTTGAGGCAGCTGGGTCACAGTGCATCCGTAGGCACCAAGCAGAGAGAGGTCAGTGTTGGTGCTCAGCCTGCCTTCTTTTTATTCATCCAGGTCTCCAGCTCAGAGAAGGAGGCCACCCACAGTTAGGGTGGGTCTTCCCACCTCTATTAACATACTCTAGAAAGCCCCTCATACACAGCCAAAAATGTGTCTCCTGTATGATTCTGCATCCTGTCTTGGTGGCAGTCATTATTCACCATCACAAATGCCAAGTTGAGTATGCAGGGTGCAGGAAAGGCTTAATAAATGTTTGCGGTTTCGATGGTTATTTTTCTGATGGAGCAGAGTTCATCTTTGAAGTGTTGTTAGTGTCATCTGTGAAGGGGTACTCTGCTCGGTGTTGTGGCAGTCTCTAGAAGAAGGAATCAGTTATTTCATAAGCAGAGTTTATAATAGAATAAGGGAGTCATTCAAAGGCTCTCAGAGGTTCAAAAGACACGAAAACATCAGGATGGAGAGCAAGCATTCATGCCTTAAGATTAACACAGTCACAGGCGTAAGTAGGCATTTGTACTAAGGTTAATGCAGTAATGGGTGTGAATGTGGCCACAGCTTGGCCGGTTCCAGGACAAAGCTGGTGCCACCTGGTTTGGACAGTGAAGGGTGGGTAGAAAGTGTTCCAGGCTGGGGTGAGGCAGGGTGACTGGGAATAGGAAACAAACTCCCTCCTCCACTGTGGAGAACAAAAGCTTCATTACAGATTCCCCCAGGCAGTGTGAGATACTGGAGGGTTTTCAATATGGAGGAAACTTTTAGAAGGGTAATACACAAGTTTTGTGAAAAGAAAGATCAAGGACATTCAAGACCAGTGGTTGCTGGCTTGGGACATGTGACTGAGAATCTGATGTAGAGCAGCTGCTAAGAGGTAGGCCCTGGGATTTCTGGGATCTCTTTTTTAATGAATTCTTCCGGATGCCTGAGGTCCCTGTGTTGGAAGCACCAAGGTGTTAGTGAAATCTCTCTAGCTTAGATGATGTCCGCTGTGCAGTGCAGTTGCACAGTTGTCACATCTGGCTCTGAGTTTCAAGCTTCTGAGCTTTGGCAAGCACGTTGGTATTGTTACCTGGCAGACATACTAGAAATTAGAGCCGGTTGGTCTGTGGTTTTTCTTTTGAGAGAATAGTGAGGATTGTTCACAGTATTTCTCCATGCTAATGGCATGACTAGATTATTGTTGCTTCTACTGTAGAAGACAGTTGGGTCTGACCTGCTCTTTTCCTCTCTCCCCAGGTGTGACGAAGATACAGTCTCTTTACATGAAGACCAGACTGACTGCTGCAGTCTCAGGTGTGATGGACTCTTGGTTCCTAGTTGTGGGAGACAGACCATCTGGCTCTGGTGGCTCTTCTGATTTCCAGTTCTTTTCTCTCCTCTCCTCTCCTTTGCTAATTTTCACCTCCTGAGGGAACCCTCATCTTGTCTCCTTTTAGATTCCCCTTCCCCCGCACCCAGAACAGTGCCGTGTGCAGGAGCTTCTCCGTTAAAGCCCCTTAAATGGCACAGTGCTCCCGTAATTACTTGCTGCCTATGTTCCAAGGTATCTTGACCATCAAGGGGCTCCTGATACCATGACAAAATCTTCACAGCGAACCCATTCCTTCCACATTGACCTTGTTCCAGGCACATCTATGTACATTTTACCATTTAACATAAACTGTTTTATGTAGAATGCTGTTGTCTCAGCATAGCAGACATGACCATCTTCATCAGAGAAGCTCTGACTGCTTGCAAGAGACCTTCAAGCTCAGGCCTGTTGATGGTCCCTCAGAGAAGAAGGGGTGAGAAGGGTCCTCAGACCCTCACCTGAGATCTCAGTCCCTCCCACCTGCTCCCACCTGTACGCAAACCAGCCCTAACCGCACATGGCATCTTGGCCTTGGGAGGTGCTGTAGGGTAATGGAAGGTCAACTGAAGACAGGCTCCTTGTAGTTACAGGAGGTTGTCGTCCATGCCGGGTGAGACTGTCTGTGGTGTGGCTGGTTTGGGAGTCACTCATGATCGTGTTAAGCGTGCCCAGGAAACTCACTGGATTTCCAAGTGGGCTTTGGTGGAACTGTACTTTGATCTGTTACTGAAATCCTGTCTGAGGGAGTAGACATTTGTTTGTGTTTCCTCAGAAAGGGTTCATGCAACCACGACCAAATAGGAAACTAATGTTTTCCTGCAGTTTATAGAGAAGGACAAATGGAGGTTCCGGAGGATCATGTCTCACCCCAGATAGCAGCCCTAGAAGGTACCTGCACCTTGCTCCAGACCACCTCTATTGATATTTACATTTTTTTCCCAGAAAGCTTAGTGAACTCAATCTTCCCTTGTAATACAGTGTCTTGTGTGATGGGTATGGAAATCCATCCTTTCCTGGACTTACCACTTGGCTGAGCAATGAGGGGTCTCAGCCCAGTCCACCTGGTGGAAGCTCTAGTGGGCGTACGTGAGACATTAAACATGCCTAGAAATCTGGGGGTGGCGGCACACGCCTTTAATCCTAGTGCTTGGAAGTCAGAGGCAGGCAGATCTCTGTAAGACTGAGACCAGCCTGGTATATATAGCGAGTTCCAGGCCAGCTGTGGCTACAGGGAGACCCTGTCTCAAAAAGCCCCCTCCCAAAAAAATCTGGGAAATAGTTGCTGTTAGTGAGTTGTCAGAGAGTTAAGGTTGGCAACGTTGGTCATGTAAAGAGAAGAACCCCATTCATACCTTCATTTGGTGATGGCCAGAGAGTTTTCTGGATTGTTAGCAATATAGAAAATGAGATTCATAGTGAGAACACTACCCTGTGTGTCTGTGTGTTGGACTTGATTGCTGAATGAACAATACAAGTGCCATCTGTGTTGGAGCTGAGCGGGGCGTGTGTGTGTGTGTGTGTGTGTGTGTGTGTGTGTGTGTGTGTGGTGGGAATTGAACCTAGGACCTTACAAGGCCCTGTGCAAGACATGCACCCTGCACCTGAGCTATGCGTACAACCCCCTCTTCTTTTCTTTTTATTTTGACCCAGGGTCTCACTAAGTTTCCCAGGCTGGCCTTAAGCTTTCCATCTTCCTGCCTCAGCTTCCAAAGAACTGGGGATGGCAGGCCTGTGTCACCAGATGTGGTCACTGAGTACAGGAAAGTCGTGGCAGCCTGCTCAGTGACCCCGCCCTAAGGGGCCTTCAATGCTTTGCTCAAAGGCCTGACTAGGTAAAATTTATCACTTGTCTTAAATATTTATCACTTGTCTTAAATATTGTCTGGATGATGTGCCTCCTCTCCAGCAGATCATGTTACAGGTTGTCTTTGCCAATGAACAGGAAGCATCATGCTTTGAACCAAAATAGGGCCCAAGAAACCGAGACCTACCTGATCACTGTAGGCATGTGTGAATTGGTCCATCTGCTAGGCGTGCGGCTTATTTTCTTTACTTCAGAATCTTAGTCTGTAAACCTGGGGTCTCAGTACCCACCCTACCCACCCTGCAGGTCAGTGAAGACTTAGAAGCACGTCATGCATGTAGTTACAACCACAGAGCCTGCATCATTCATAGATTGGACGGGAAAGAAGAAAAGAAGAATGAAATTTACAGGGCTCTAGCTCAGTTGCTGAAGTCCTTGCCTAGTGTTCATGAGGCCCTGGATTCCGTCCCCAGGACTGCATAACCCAGGCATGGGGGGAGGGTACACCTGCAGGCTCAGCACGTGTGGGGTGGAGGAGATGTGAGACAGGATCAGAAGTTCAAGGCCATCCTTGGTGCACAGTGAGTTTGAGGCCAGCTTGGGATAAGTGAGACCCTGTCTGGAAAAAAACAAAACAAAAAACATAGAGAAGAAAAGGCAAGAATGACTTCAAAGTTCTTAAGTTCTCGGTCCTGTGAACTTGCCTGTGCCCGAGCTCCCTGTGAGTACCGCCATGGTGACTTGACAGCTCTTTCCTGCACAGGTTTTTTCTGGGTTTTGGTGCATTCTAAATCATTGGGTCTTTCTTCCTGCAGAGATGAAAACAATAAAGAAAACTACCCACAGGCGGGGGCTTGCATAGAGGACCTCACTCCAGCCTCTCTTGAAGCTCAGCAGCATGCAGAGCAGACCCTGCTGGTGGGCGGTGTGCTGAGACCCAGCATGGGCAACTTCAAGTCCCGCAAGCCCAAGTCTATCCTCAGAGCCGAGAGCGGCCGGAGTCATGGAGAAAGCCAGGTACAGCTCAGCCGTCAGGGCCTGGCCACGGTGAAGCCTCCCTGTTGCAAAGGCGTAGCCTACAGACTGGGTAGTGCATGTGACCTGAGATGTGAGGATGCCCTCCTTAGAAACTGGGAGCTTTGGGCAAGGTTTTGCTTAAATTCCCCTTCTTTCATGAAGCCTTTTAGAAAACCCTGGTCTTCTCTCTCTCTCTCTCTCTCTCTCTCTCTCTCTCTCTCTCCCCCTTCTCTGTATCCCTCCATCCTCTGCTTTCCTTCCTTTCTTCCTTTTTTCTCCTTTGAGAAAGGTTCCCATGTAGCCCAGGCTGGCCTTGAACTCCATATAGAGTTGAGGCTGACCTTCTGATCCTCCCAACTCTACCTCCTAAGAATGCTTGGATTATAGGGAGCACTGTCACACCCTGTTTATGTGGTGCTGGGAGCCGAACCCAGTCCTACATGCATGTTAGTCAAGTACTCTACCTACTGAGCTACATTCCTGGGCCCAAACTGGCCTTCCTAAATGTTGGATTTGGATTGAACAGAATAGCACAGTGGTCTTTAGAGAGGACTTGTCAAGAAGTCTGTTTTGATTGAGACAGGATAATGTTACCCTTGCGACAGACTTGGGGATTCCACTCAGCAGAATCAGAAGTCTCCCTTGGGTCTCGGGCTGTCCTCCCAGGACTGTGCGCTAGTGGCTTTGAATGAGCAGCTGTGTGTGTGTGTGTGTGTGTGTGTGTGTGTGTGTGTGTGTTGTGTCTGTATGTGGTATTTGGTTCTCTAAAGTCAGTGACTATTAGAAGGGATGATGACTGAATATAGAATCTTTCAAATTAGTTTGGTAACAAGCTCATATACCTATATTTGTAAATTTCTTGAGATAGAGGCTTGCTTTGTAGCCCAGGCTCGCCTCAAACATGCTAGCCTCCTGCTTTAGTGCTGAGATGACAAGTGTGTATTACCACCATGCTAGGCTCGTAGTTTACAAATTTTAATTAATTAATTAATTATTTTAATGTTATGTGTATGAGTGATGCCTGCATATGGGTAAGTGCACCCGTGTCATGCAGGGCCCTCAGATTGGAGGACAGAAGAAGGCATCAGATCCCCTGGAACTGGAGTTATAGATGGTTGTTAGCTGCCATGTGGGTGCTGAGACTCAAACCCGGGTCATCTGCAAGAACAGCTCTTAACTGCTGAGCCATCTCTCCAGCCCCCAGAAATTTTAATTTTTTTCAGGTTGTTTAGAAATGTAGCAAAGAAAGATTTTTTTAAAAGTCAAAAGTCTCTGATAATTTATGATGCTTTTATTCATTTATTTAGTCTTTTTTAGATAGGGTCTCCCTGTAGTCCCAGCTGCCTGGAACTTGCTATGTAGACCAGGCCAGCTTCAGTCTCGCAGAGATCTGCCTGCCTCTGCCTCTTTAGTGCTGGGATTAAAGACATGCACCACCACACCAAGCTCTTATGAAACTTTTAAAAGAGATTAAGTGAATGTAATCAGCCAGGGCCTTGCCAGAAGCCATGTCCCAGCAATGAGGTTATATTCAGAGTGCGCTCAAAATAACCTTTAGAAAACAGCTACCCTATAAATACTAGATTTACTTTTTTGTTTACATTTAGATATTAGCCTAAATGATCATGCCGGAAGCTCAAGTTGTAATAGGTTAATTATGTAGTGGTGTTAAGTCCAGTCCTATTTACACATGGGGCTGGTGCTCTTCCTCTTAGAACAACATTGACTGGGCTGCTTGTTGGACTTTTTGATTTTATTGTGTACTTTTGTGGTTTTTATGCTTTTACATTGTGATCTCTGTTAGGTCCCTGATTTTTCAGTGAGGTGTAAATGTACGTGGCACTCATAAAGCAATGTGATGATTGTCTTAGGCTCTCTCATTGCCGAGAGGCCTGTGGAGTATCTCAGGGTGATGATGAGCTCTCTGTTGCTCTTCCGGCAAGAAGGGGGACTGTGCTGCGGATGCGAGTTCCCAGTGGGCTGATCCAAAAGAACCTCTGACCTGGCGTCTTCTACTGAGGGTCGCAGGTGACACTGAGGGCTTCTGGGTGGCCAGCCTTCTCTCCTCAGAGTCTCCTCTTGTTGTCCCCTAGTCCGCTCTCACAGAAATTACACTGTTGTCTCTTATGATGGGGTTTGTCATTCCAAGCCTGGTGCCGATTCACAGGACGGTGACAGGATAGAGATGGGCAAACAGAGTCCTTGCTCATGATGCAGCACTGCAGCGCTGGACAGAAGGTAAAATTCCCAGTGGATTTAAGTGGCCTGTTCTGATTCAGCGAACTTCATCCTCAAATACAGTGTTCTAAACAAGATGTTGGCTCTGTAATGGATTTTCCAAAATATATCCTGGTTAAAGGGAAGACAGGTTATTATTGAATTATGCAAAAAGTCCTATTATGGAAAAGTAGATACTTGGTCTGAACTTTTGAATGATGGGGGATAAGGCGGTTCAGGTATCAGTTTTAAAGGTGTCATCCCATTTCATATAAACACTGTGAACTAACTTGTTTTGGGCTACAGATAGGTGAAACAGAAGACTTCCTATACTTTCAGAAAATAGAACACTAAACATCAATATGCTGAACAGATATCACTAATAAAATATCCCTGATAGGCCCATTCTGTCTTTAATTGATTCTTCTGCACGGTAGTGGCTCAGCTACGTCATGAAGCCGTCTGCTTCTTCCTCAGAGTTCTGCATATCCTGGTTCAGCCCACTGTGTCATAAGATGCCTGTACCCAAGATCTGTTGTTTTCTTCGAAGTGTTGGTTACCCGGAGTATCTTGTCCTTTACCACCAGGCTTCTTGAGATTCTTTTTTGTCAAAGACACAGATGCTGGTAAAATCTCAAGCGAACAGCAGAGGAAAACAGCTGCCTACAACGGACAGAACCAAAATGGCTGTGACTAATTTACTCCCCACAGTTTTGAAGTGTGAAAGGTCTGAGCTGAGCATTCATCGTTCCAGCAATACAGAGTGTGACACGCAAAACAAGAGAATAAAATCAGTTCCCGCAAATGAGAAAGAGTGTCCCGAAGGGTGGTAACTATGGCTCTTTTCACAGGAGCCAGGGAATGTTGCTTCTGATTTTTATTAAAATGGACAGATCTAGTTCTTACACAGAAAAAATACCACTGTAATCTATAACCTAATCCTGGAAGACAGCACTAAGAATATCAAGGAAAAAGACTCACTAAGTTTGGAGTAGATCCTAGACATCTGTATTTTTATTAAGCTCCGTGGCAATCTGTCTTCCGTTCAGCCAGGATGGAACTGGGAAGGGATCCATTATGCAACCAGCATTTTGTCTGTGATGTTATCTTTGAGAACGAAGCTTGTTCAATTAGATGGAACAGGCTACTTAAATTCCACTGGGAGTGTGACCTCCGATATGCACCTTCAGCTGGCTTTGGTGACAGGTGATAAAAGGCTACAGACAAGTTTAAATAATAATTACAATGATGATTGATAACAGCACTGGCTCTTACCAGGTAAAGATCTGTCATAATTTGGATCAGTGTGAACAGAACTCTCATAAGGGTTTGGATCACAGGGTAAATGTCACGTCCATATGGTTTACCATGCAGTCAGGTAGACTGCGTTTGTTTGTAAGGCCGTGTTCTTGGCTATGGGATCAGAAGCTGTGAATCAGAAGCTTCTGGTCCTCATTAAGCAACTGAGTTTTTTCTGCTTCATCATCATCTCCCGAAAGCACTTGTTGAAGAAGCTTGGGTGTCAGCTTCCTAAGCTTGAAAACAGCTCTCCTGGAAGATGGGGATCACCACTCTAAGTGACTAGTTGCTGCCATTTCTGGTTCTCTGCTCACAAAGTCTGTATGCAGGACCCCAAAGTTGCTCTTCAGTTTGATCCCTATCAGTATGGGGAGGGAGAGGAGGCCCACAGTCACTGTCTGGACAGGACAATCTGGCTTAACGCCTGCTTCCCTTGTCTTCTGGTCAACTCCATATTTGGAATTGGCAGTTCCCTTTCGATGGGTCAGGCTCAGATCTTACTTTGGGCGACTGTTCTTCCCTCCTGGCCTTGAGGACATCCTTGAGAAGGCAGCGGGCGAGGAGTAAGAGAACTATGTTTATGTATGAAGGATTGGTTCCAGTTTTGTGTCTTATTTAAATGACTTAAGAGGGAAGGAGTTTAGATATATCTACCAATGAAATTGAAGACAGGAACCCTGAAGACGAGGAGGAAAGTCCTCTGAGAAGCTGGCGTGTGTATTGAGTCACAGTCCCTCTAAGAAGCTGGCGTGTGTATTGAGCCATAGTCAGTTTCCTGTCTGTTTGTTCATCTTTCTTCCTTAGATAATAAGCTTTGGGAGGAAAAATGGTTTGGGTAAGGACCATTTAATGACCTGTCTCCTGAAAAGCCAGATTTTAGGGAAACTATTAGTAGAGTTCATTGAGCTCGAACCCAAAGCAAGGCGTGTGCCACCCGGCTCAGCATGGACCCCTGGTCCAGTTGGAATGCTGGAACAGCTTGCTCCTGTGTAGAATGTCCAATCAAGACATGGATTATCTGTTGCAGAATTGTGTGAAAAAGTAAAGATACCTCTGTATCAAGTGTCATGGAAACCAGAGCATCGTCCTTGACAACCTTATGTGGGGAAGATTAGACTTGGAAGGCAGTAACAACTTCCTGTGTTGACTCTCAACACTATCCAGAGGGCATTCAAGTTTAGTACTGGTAGACAGAGTCTTACCTCCCTCACTCTCTGCCATCTGGCACCAGGCTGCACCTCACCCTGCTGTCCTCCCCTCCTGTGGCTATTTTAGCAGAACACAGAAAGTAGGAGACTCTGAGCAGAGCTTTTCTTCAGGGAGCTGCAGGCTCCTGCTAAGCCCCTTCCTTGGGGAGACCAGCTGTTTGGTCTGGCACACAGCGCTATCAAGTTCCTTCCACTTGGCTGCGGTATGTTGAGACTGAAACGCAATCCAGATCTGCTGTGAAAATTTCATTTTAATCTTTCTGTAGGAATAAAAAA